ACAACTGAATTTTTAATTTTCCTTTTTGTCATAGTGTTATTTCGTTATATCAAAGGTTCCAATTTGAATAAAATTCAGATCTATCTTTACTCGTTTACTTGTCAAAGCATATTCTCGTCATCGTTACAATTTGCATAGCGAACTCTTAGAGGTAAGTTTCATTAGATTTGTGATTAATCATCACTGAAAACAACAGAGCAACAGATAAAAGGTAAAAAGACCGTAACATGTATTCCTTATTTTCCATAAAAACAATAAACTATAGCTTGTGTTTTAAGATAATATAACGCAATCATAGGTTTGAATGTTGTTTTCAATTTCGACTTGTTTATATTTTTTCGTTTGGGCTTGTCTTATATTTGCCTTCGGGTTTATATGATCCGTTCATTCTATTTTGACTCTTCAAAATTCAAGAGTCAATCCCAAATTGAGGTAAATTATATGGCCTTACAACTACCGTTTCGATTCCTAACATCACTGAAAAGACATTAATTGTCGAAATCCGGATATGGTGTACAAATTTTTGCACCTCATGTTTGCGATATACCATCTTTTCCGAACGTTTATTGTTTTATGTTTGGTATTAAATCAATAATTAAGATTCATTTTTACATCTGGTGATCCTTTTATTTGGCAATCGCCATGGCAGTCAGCAGGGTTTAAGAACATCCGTTGTTCGACCTGCTAGTCAAATGCGTTTTGTTAAAATATACTTTTTCACTTTTTTGGTCTTTTGGAAAATGTTGTTTGTACTGTATTTAGACCACTCTACCATGAAATTTGTTTTGCATGCACACGTATAAAAATTGCGGTTTTTATCCAACGCAATCATAGGTTTGAACGTTGTTTTCAATTTAGACTTGTATATAATACGTCTAAATAACAGCCCAAAAATGTAAGATCTGTAAATTACGGAAGTAAATTTTTTTTTCTTCCCTGGCCGGGATTCGAACTCATATTACTGATATATCGTGGCACCAAATCGCCTTGCACAATGCCCGACGCGCTAGACCACTCGACAATCTAGGCTCGACAAAAATCAAGCTTTCGGGGCCGGGTGTTACCTTTCCACGTCAGTTTTTATCTAGCGTCGTTACACAGTACATGATATATAAGGCATGAAGATGGAATATTACAGATCAGCTGAATTATCTATCGTAGAGGATCTTACAAATTAATGTAGGATGCAGTCACAGAAATAATTATAATATGAGTAAGTCTGAACCAGTGACAAATTTACGACAGATTTTATCCATCGAATCACCAGTGATGGTGATACAAGGCTGAAAACACATTCTGTATACATAATTCGTCTAAATAACAGCCCAACAATGTTAGATCTTTAATGTCTAAATTAAAAACAACATTCAAACCTTTGATTGCGTTGGATAAAAACCATATTTTTTATACGTGTGCATGCAAAACAAATTTCTTGGTAGAGGGGTCTAAATACAGCACAGACAACATTTTCCAAAAGACCAAAAAAATGAAAAAGTATATTATTACAAAACGCATTTGACTAACAGGTCGAACAACGGATGTTCTTAAACCGTGCTGACTGCCATGCCGATTGCCAAATAAACGGATCACTAGACGTAACAAAATTGATCATAATTATCAATTTGATACTAATCAGAAAACAATAAACTTGCGGAAAAGATGGTATACCGCAAACATGAGTATATATATATTCACGACTGGTAATTAAAGGTAAGTATGTTTGTAAAACAGTGCTTGTTTTATTCATGAATGAAAAATTCAAGACAAAACAAGTCTTATGATGATGAAGAAAAAGAAACTTTTAAGACTAAAATTATTTTTATAAAAAGAGATGTACATAACTAGGAAAGCGAATAGATAAGTTACAAATAGTAACGAATACAAGTATAGAAAATTGAATTATATATACTTATCCATCAATAACTACCATACGTGTACCGCCTAAATAAATCTTATCTTTTCTTGAGGTATGATACAGTCTTGCTTATAACATATTAACTGCTATACTTAAATCGTCGTGAATAATTACAAAATGGAAATATACTTCTACATAATTATGGTATTGCATTAAATAAGGAACACATATTTAATAAATGTATCCAATAAAGTCAAATAAATTATTTGAAATCATTTGAATTTTTTTTGTATCAGGTGTACTTTCAATTTGGTACTTTTTCAAACTTTATATTAACTTAACCAAATGCCTTTCTCATTTTGATTTCGATTGTAAAAATATACAACCGGAATCGTGTTGTAATTTGAATAAATAAAAATGATTCCGGAATCATGTTGTCTTTTGGATAAATGAAAATTAAATGCATTTCCATTTAATAGTGGTCATGCGACGAAAGAGTTGATTTCGTTTTACTGACTTCTCCTTTGTAAATACAAAGGCGCCATCTATCCCTAATTTTTACCGAAATCAGATGACCAATTTGCAGAGAGTATTGCATTAGGGGATGAAATGGGGTATACAGGTTATACGACAATGAAGTAGAAACTAAACGAGACATAAACCCAAAGGACACGAGAGGTCGACATACGATCTTCAAAAATACACTTCTGTCTTTAAATCGCCGAAAGTCTTCAAATTTTTTTTTTAATTTCAACCATACCAATTAAATCTTTTATCACTGTAAGCGAAAAACAAAGACATGAAATGACAATTAGTAAATATTGATTTCGACACAGGCATAACTAACAAAAAACCGCATATTATACCAAAAAAAAAAACAATCAAAGAATGCTCGAAGTTACTGAAAGTTTACCTATTTATATATTTGATGCTGTCGAATATCTAATATCGGTGACTGCACGCCATTGTAATAAATTCATACACAAGATTGCATACAGCAACGGCATAAACACAACAAGAAAACACAAACATAATTGATGCCAAAAATGACATTTTGTATAGATATTCAATGCAAAAAAAAAAAAAAAAAATAAATTTATACTTCATGTGTCTTCCAAACTATAGATAAGCGAATTTATGTTCAGCCCCAAACACACAAGTGTATTGATTGTATAACAACGGTCTGGTTACAATCTGATCAAGAAAGGATCAAATAGAAAAATTTTAAAGACAATTCCTAACATTATTAGCTTTATTAATACATATTAAGGTAAAAAAAAATGTTGAGTGTAAGATACCAGTTTTGTTTTGTGTGATCGTCTTTTTTCCTTTTGATATGGTGTTGAATAACTTTCTTCGACTATTGGTATCTTTCTAGCGTTTTAAACTTCAAATTTATTTCCCTTCTAACCAATTTAGTTTAGCGCAAATCATATCTTGAAATTCCAGCTGTCCCTGTATGTGTTTTTTTTTACCCGTTTGAATAAAGAAATAATAAATTTTATCTCTCACACAGAATTAAAATTCCCTCAGACTGAGAAAAATACTAGAAAAATATTAAAAAAGAGGTTCTCCTATTGAGAATTGGCTTTAAAAAAAATCTGGATTAAATTCCATTCTTCCATCTAAGATAAGTGGAAAGAATGCCTTGTCACAAAAATTAAGTGCAAAACATTAAAAAGTTGCGTTATTTAAAAAAATGTACTGTCACTTACATACCGGAATGCCCAATTCATAAAGAAGATATAATCCGATCCATTATTTTATCTTTAAAATCATAAATCTTGAATGCTAGATTTTTTTCATATAAAAGTGTTAAATTGTTTCCAATTAAGTGAGAGAAAAAAAAATGCGTACTGTAGATTCATTATTTTTCGAGGGACACACAATTTTTGTTGATTTTGTGATTCTAGGTTAACCAGTAATTTATACGTCCAGCAATATACAAATTTCCAGTCTTGTATACAGATTTAAGCAAAACCACGCTATCAAATATCCATGAAAATACAAATTTTCATCATTCCAGTACCCACGAAAATACATGAATATATCAGAACAGGTTCCACGACTTGTTAATACTTACTTACCTCTTACATATACAAATACTGCTGATTTCAACAAAAACTTAGTTTTTATTTTTTGACATTGACATCCAAAGTATACCAATTGAAATATACGAAGATAATTCATCAACAACAAATACCTGACAATAACTGAATTCGCTTGCAGATTTGATAATAACAACGAAAAATGATCTATATATATATATATCGCTAGCATTAAATAAACCTATGTAAGATTGAATGAGAAAAATCCAAATAAAACATAATGAAATATTCCTATGTTAAAAGATTGATGTTTTTGCAGTTAAGAAAATATCAAGTTCAAAAATCGTATTAACAAAAATACCGAATTCCAAGGTTAATCAAAACTGGGAAGTCAGTTAAAACTGACAAAATCAAAACGCTCGACAATATAAAAAACTGAGCTAAAAATGTCATATTCATAACTTCGAAGAAAATGGGGGTTAAACTTATTATTAAAAATATTCTTCTGCCTACTGTCTGAAACATAGAAAATGCATTGATTTTACATTAATTTATTAGATTCCTACCTGATTGTTATGATTAATCTATGTCCCGATGAAATAAGTTGTTTCAGAATGTGTAGTATTCTTCTTGTTTACTATTGTTTATACGTGAACTGGTTGTGTAGATACCTAGAGTAGTAAATTTTGCTCAGGCCTAGAAATGCTTTGATTTATTCATGGCTTTGTACTACAGGTTAAGGGTTCATCAGTTATGTTTAAAAATAAATATGGCATATTTTGTAATAATATTCTAATAAATTTTGAAACTGCAGATTAATTGTATGTTTTGCATGCACATTGCACGCAATTTCATAATGATAATTGCTTCTTTTGTTAATGTGTTGTGAAATAAAACTACTTATTATATTTTGATATGTTCATAAATAAAAACTTAAACTATGTTCCGATACGATTAATATACTGAATAGTTTTTTTTTTTAATTTCAGGACTTTCGTAATTAAATTACATGACTGTGTGGTTGTTTAATATTTTAATCTAAATCTTAAGCATGTCTTGATCATTTTTGCATATAATATATGAAACATCTGTTCTCAACTGACTTTTATTTCATATTTAAAGCAGCATCAACATGCAGTATAACTCAATTTCAATATGACATCAATTCAGGTGCTACTCGCAGTCTTTGTGATCCCCGCTGTGTGTGGAGCAGGTAAGAGCAATGTATTAGCCATTTTCTTTATTGTTTATGCCTACCTTGATTCAGTTTTGCATCGGTAATGTGCTCAAAAAATGTATTATACCAGTTTTAAAAAATATAGCATAAGGTAAGAGCCAACAATTTTGATGACCAAATTCTAAAAGATTTCTTCTGGAATTATTTCTGTCACATTTTAAATTTTTAGGTTTTGATTTCAAATTTCACTGATTATTTAATGAATAAAATAACATTTTGCTACAGAAGCGCTCTTCTGGATTTACCTTCATAACGAACACTCAAACTCTTACATTTGAAAGCAAATGATGTAAAAATAAAATGAACGTTAAGACCTATAGAAAAAAGTAAAATAACAAAAATACGGAACTCCAAGGGAAATTCAAATCAGAAAGTTCTTTATAAAATGGTAAAAATCAATGCACAAACCTGGTTTTATTGCTGGCTAAACCTCTCACTTGTGTGACAGTCGCATAGAATTCCATTATACTGACAACAATGTGAGCAAAATAAACAGACATAATAGGTAAAAATGTCAACAATTGGGGTACAGCAGTCAACATTTTTATATAATCTTAATCACTATAAAAACAAATAAGTTAAACTATTTCAACAAAGGATAAGAAAATGGCATTTAGACACTTATACTATCATACGGACCTTCAACAAATAGTCAAATTCATCGAATTACATCATTTTTAGGTCCATTTTAATCATATGGCTTTTAGTGTTTCAATGTTTTTAGACAGCACTGGCTTTCAAATATTTAGGTTGAGCATATGTGTGATGTTTCATTTGAACCTCAGTAATACCAATGAAATATTTCCTCTTAAATCTAAGATCATTTATTTACCGATAGATATATATATATATAAAAAACCAACAAAAAAAACCCAAAAAAACTGATCGATCATATATCTTTCTCTGATTGCAGTAAAACGAAGAACTGGAATTCCGAAAATATTTATAAAACAAGCCAACCCTTTTGAATACGGATTTACAACAACACCTCATTTTAGATTAACAAAAAAACAACAACAATAAAAACGCTTCTTTTTTAGTAAACTGTTTTATCCAGGTATAATACCACCATTGATTTCCCTCATTAGTCTTTGTTAAATTTGCACTTATCAAAAAATTGTGCAGAATTTATTTTTATTTCAAAAAATGAAATACTTGGCATGAGTCAAGTTTTATCCTGTCCAGTACTATAGACAAAATTTCATATTTCATTGCATATAAGAAAATAACCATCACTGGAAGTTAATCAATCAAATTTCACCCCCTTTATTTTTCTGTGTACAAGCTTTAGTAACCATGTAACCTCAAGTTTCCAAAATATTCTATAGAAACTCCAAATAAAACAAAAAATAATGATGCTTTGAAACACCCAAGATATATGTTTATGACTGATTTTTTTTAACTGCAATGAAATGTAGGATTAATGTCCCACAACTGTCAAATTCAATGGAATATTTTTTTTCGACCCTTTTTCGTATGCAACCGGATGTGACGTACTATGATTTGGTGGTATTATACCTCCAGTATTTCATACGACTGTGGTTGCATGAACATCTACCCGTTCATTATGCTGAATATTACTTCAAACCAGGGAAAAATTTTAAATTTTGAATGAACAATTAGATGTGATATACTATACTTGTATTCAGTGTAAAGCGGTTTAATGATTCTATGATATTAGGAACTTTACTTCATATGAATATCTGGACGGCATTTAAGCTACTGAATCCCCAATATTACATAAGTTTTCATTCAAAATAGGTCTAAAACCACAGAATAATCCACGTAACCTATTCAAAATATACTCTGTCGGGAATCAAACCAGTCCATCGGGTTATTGTAAAGCTTCCAACAGAAAGCACTATGTAAATCAAATGGGGTTCTTACAAATAACAATAATTTGTGAGAGCGCATACAATCAATATCTCTTTCCCCATGGATGCAACTGTAATAGACATTAGAATTCTTCTCCCTTTACACAAATATGCCTTATTGTTAAAACAAACCCACACAAACACTACAGATTAATCAACACAGTTTTCCCTTGAACAAAACATGAGATGAATCCGATGCTCCAAATTTGAGAGTAACTCTGGCTCACTAGTTGCATCCTATAAAAAGACATACAACTTGAATATGTAACAACCAGCGTTCAATCTTGAACACCTGTAAAAAGGAATGCATAAATTGTGCTCTAAAGGGAAGATGAATAAATGGACGCCGTAAAGAATTACTGTGATCGGAAGTCAAAATCACATTTAGTTTTACACAATGGATATATTGAAAAGATATGATAAAGCGTATCGTTTTAAAATATGATATTAATCCCAATTTCAAACAAATATGAGTGTAACATGACATTGATTGAGAAAAGGTATGTTATTGCATTCAATGGAAGTACTGCATATATTATTTGATTTTTGAATATTTCCACTTCTTTTTAAACTTTGCAAGCAGATATGGCTTAACTTTCTGTAAACACGTTTGGTTTTTTGTTTAAGATAGTAATTTACAATCATCAGTCTCTTTTGTATTTTAATAGACTTTTATTTGAAATTTGTATTGCTTTACTCATACTTCCTTTCATCAACATAACATTTTCTAAATTATATTTTAAAGGTTACTCTAGCGATTATCAGCCAAAATGCTACAAAGTGGGAGGATATTGCGGGATTGGAAGTTGTCGCAAAGGGTTCAAATTTGCCACAAAGTACTCATACGGGTGTTCAAGCAATGCAATATGTTGTCTTATAGGTAATTAGTTATATCAAAATTAAGCATTTTGTACAATCATCGTTGTTGTTTCATTAGAGATGTGCATTTTGTTTGATATTAAATTACAATTTACTTTTGAAAATCTTTTTTATTTACATTTGTCAAAACTATCATCTTGTAGATACATTTTACAACAATTACCAAGGACAACTTGATAACAGAGGTAGAGGATATTGCACTAATAGTGGATGTCGATCGGGATATAATTATTATGACAACAATGGGTATTGTAAATATGGCAATAGGTCTTACAAGTATAATTGCCACTATTATACAGGATGCTGTCTCCCACGTGAGTATTAATAACATTATATATCAATTTTTTACCGAAAGAAAAATACATTCTAGATACTGTTGAAATGCTTGTATTCTAGAACTTCTTCAACATGAAGTAGATTTATTTGTTTAACAAAATCTAATCTTTGTTACCCATCCCTGTGTTAACAAACATTCGGAAATTTTTATCGACAGTGGTCTATACCTTCATGGTTAATTGGCTCTTCTATATTTTTATTTGAGCGCAACAGATGAGTCTCATGTACACAACATAAATTATCAGTATGGTATCTCATCAATTAATAAATATACGAGTCCGAAGACATAATAGCAAACACAAACAATATTTGCCCAAGTTAATTCATGAACATCAGCAAAAACTTTATCATCCTACGAATGAAAGTAACAATATCATGACCACTGTTAAAAATATTACCGGGAAAAAATAAACCAACTTTGAAAATGACTTTTGAAAAGATTCAAGTATTAATTTTATACATCCGTAAGGTGCAATATTTTGGCTACGAACGTTCCTGATTGAGTGATAACTCATGAAAAGCACTTCGGGTGCATAGAAATTTACAGAGTGTTATTTTCATACACTAGGTCGACACCGCTGCTGATGGACTGATAGTACCCAAGGGTTTCACCAATTCAGTAGTCACAGCTTCGGTAATACTGAAATGATTTAAAACATACCATTCTTAAATTGATAAGTTGATAAATAAACAAGATATTAAGAAATAAGGTTTAAGCTCACTCAGGCAAATTTAATCTTAAGTGGACTTGGACATTCTTTTAATGTTACTATCTCTTTTAATCGGACTTATGATTTCAAATGTTCATCTGGTATCTTCATTGTATTTTTATTAAACTTTTATGAAATCAACAATACTTAAAACAAAAAATAAAAAACCTATAGATGTTTTCATACAGTTATTTCAACTCACCTGAAACCTCACCTTCAACTTTACTCAACATTATACAAACGTAATAACAAAGCGTTCTTTTATAAGAGTACAGTTAGATTAACGGCTATACTACATCATTATCGTAATAGAAGTGGACCTAATTCAAGTGAGTGAAAATTACTTGTATACTTATAAACGTCTCGTGAAAGCGTACATGAGAACTACAAACGTAAGGCACGATATACTTTACATCAAAGTGCATAATAATACCCCAAAGTCGTTGAAAAGCTAGCTTAAATCCAATGAAGAAAGAGAGTTATGATAGCGAATTTGTTTTATGTATTATGACTATATTAGGTAAAACATCAAATGTTGATTTTATTCATCCATCACATATATTTAATCATTCATCTTTGGTATGTAGTAAACATCTTAGTAATATTTAAATTGTATTTCCTAATTTTAAACAGTATTCTTTTTCATGTTTTATTTTTATTTTCTTTGGCTTTTAGGTAACCCATACAGCAAACTCCATTACTACTGCACCAACAATTACGGATGTCCGAAAAATTACTATTTTTATAACAACCATGGCTACTATTATTATAATAGCAAGGACTACTACGATTGTCATTCTTACAAAGGATGTTGTATTCGTGGCAAGTAGTTTAATCTTTATTAGTCTATTTTGCCTGATAACTTAACTAGCATTTACTATAAAATGCTTATACGGTGACCTATATTTGTTAATTTCTGTGTCATTTGGTCTCTTGTGAAGAGTTGTCTCATTTGCAATCATACCACATCTTCTTTTTCATATTATGCAACAAGTCAGGTGGTTGATACAAACAATAATGAATTTAAGAATCTGTTTTTATTGACCGTTTAAAAAAAACTGGATTTAGAACTAATGTACAAGTGAATCATATTATATAAAAACACCCTTGTCGTTTGGCACTTGTTTTAATAATGTTGATTATGTTATAATTTCCTAATGTTTTATTTTTGTTTTTTAGGTTAGAAAAGGTCAAACCATTATTGAACAGTTCGTCGATGAGACATCTAACAGTGCAGTCGATGATTAATAATGATTTCAAATAAATATTTTAAGTTCCAAGTGGTAATATTAAAATCGTCCGTTCGAAAATTTTACGGACGCCATCACGGACGAGTTGGTTGACCGTTAAGGAATATCTGTTTCACAAAGGACAAAGGATATTGTTCAATTGTCGTAACTACAATCCCGTCCACTTTTCACCAAATTTGACCTACCGAATAAGACTTATCACCAGGTTTGTTCTTACATGAGCAGCACGATGGGTGCCACATGTGGAGTAAGATCTGCCTACGCTTCCGGAGCACCTGAGATCACCCCCAGTTTTTAGTGGGGTTCGTGCTCAGTCTTTGGTTTTCTATGTTGTGTTGTGTGTACTGTTGTTTGTTTGTCTTTTTATTTTTAGCATGGCGTTGTCAGTTCCTGTTGTTTTTTTATTACAACATGAATACATCATTTTGCTTTCCTAAATAATTTGATAAAGACATATATATTATTCGAAAGCACTAAGTTATGTATGTTTCATTCATCTCTGATACCACTATAGGATTACAAAAGCTACAGTTTAAATCCACGAGGCAAAATGTACCATGAAAAAATGAATAAGGCGAAACGTTGTGGATACGTAGTCAATGATACAATAGCAAACCAAACTTTACAGATCATCATCTTCTCATTTGAAACCTTTTTTTTTTTTTTTTTTTTTTAAAGTTTTTGCTATAATATTGTTTACATCAGTTTATGAATGTATGATATGTCTTTAAAAGAAAAGTCGAAATGATATTGAAAATAAATAATCACCAAGGAATTATGATGTAGCTTTAAAATGCACATGACAACCACCTTCCGAGCATTTTAATTCATCATTTTGCTTTCCTAATTAATTTGATAAATAAATATTCATCGAAAGCACTAAGTTTTGAATGTTTCGCTCATCTCAGATACCACTATAGGTTTACAAAAACTACAGTTTAAATTCATGAGGAAAAATTTACCATAAAAAATAATATTATTCTTTGAAAATATATAAGACAAAACGTAATACGTAGTCAATTATACAATAGCAAAATGTCGTCATTAGACCGATATCTGTACAATATGTTAAGTGTTTGTCATCAAAATTAATATATTTAAAAGTTACCATAAAAATACGTCATCATCATCAATTTGCCTAATGGCAACATTTGAGGGCAAAACGACAACCACTCTTTAGGTGCCTGACTTTAGGTAGACACGTGATCATGCGACGGGGGTGGACTAGTATTTTGCAAATCAGCATCTTCTCATTTGAAACCTTTTTAAAAGTTTTTGCTATAATGTTGTTCACATCAGTTTATGAATGTTTGATATGTTTGTTAAAAGAAAAAATAAAATGATATTAAAAATAAATAATCACCTGAATTATGATATAGCGTTCAAATGCACACGACAACCGTCTTCTGAGCGTTTTAATAGCTTCGCCATTTATTCCTGATTGCTCGCCTGTTTTAAGCGTTGTGGCTCCAATTCCAATTCTAAAAAAAATGCAATTTAGGATTATGACTTTTGATATAGCTGGCAGTTGATTTCGGGTAAAAGATGATAAACTGTCAAAATAAATATAAAATTATCACTAACTGAAACCAAATGACGGGCATATAAAAACCCATCAAAGATACCAGGCTGATAATACGTACTTCAAAGATAAGACTGGACAAATAGTTGCGTTATCTGTATATTCATTTATGACGATGCACGTCGAATGACCACTCTGATCTGTTTAATTTTCTTAATGTCAATTTTGAGTTGATGATCCTGACAATTACAGTCCTGCAGTACTAGAGACAGATCTATTACTTGTTGCAAAATCACTCACACATAACATGGCAAAAAATGCTACTATAAATGAATATTGATAATAAAGATTAATAAATTGATGTACAAATACTAAGGGAGCATCTGCTATCCGTCGTAGGAATGATAAAGTCATTAGTGCCGTGTAGTCTTATTGTAGGTTTGTTCTAGGTAAATCCTTATGTATTTTCGATATGACAAAGTTCTTTGTAGTATCCCTTTGGTTAAGTGCATTGTGAGAAAAAAATGTGCCACTTAGATAGGATCTAACTGAAGCTGCATATAAATGTATCAAGGATAAATAAGCTATGAATTGGACTAACTGTTCCACATGAACTGGCAATACTTTCTCCAGTGTGTAATGAAGAGGGAATGAAGCAAGAACAGTTCTAGCTCTTGGATAGCTTTTCGGTGTATTTTGAATAAAGAATCGGAAAATAGTCGAACAGATTTCACTTTTATAGATTCCATAAATATAAGAAGATGTAGTATGAGCGCCAACGAGACAACTCTCCATGCTTGTTTTGAAATTGGAGTTTGTTTCATAACTGCATTTGAAGCTGCCATGTAATGTCAAGAGCTAATCCACTTTGGCTGTAAAAAAGGATGTCGCCGAGGGGCATATAAATGCTTAAATGTAGCACCTGAATGCACAGCATTATGCAACTGTTCATCGGAATGTGAGAGAGAAACTTCATGAGACTGTGCTTAAAGTTGGTTACACTGCATTTGGATATTATTTAATTTTTTTTTAACTAATTTGAATATGTTTTAAAACAATTGTAATGCTAAATAATTACTTTTGAGGCGCCATTTTTATTGTTGTCTTCTTATTGAAAAAGTAATACTTGTGTTGTATCATAAAAGGATTTTACGCATAGTTTTTTCATTGCAAGTAAATTGAAAGATTTCTAAAGTCAAGTAAACATTATTAACTTTAACTGTGAAAATGTCCACCTGATCATAGGCGCCATATTGAAATCATTGTATACCACATCAATAATGTATATGCACATATAGTCAGATTTTGACATTTTCGACTGCGCCATTTTGAGTTTTACCGCCATTATGAAATTAATATATGTTCCCTGGTATTGTTAATACAATGAAGAGCTGTGCCAATATCAAATGCTATGTTTCACGAATTAGTTAACTCTCTATACCACATTGATAGTGTATATATACGAATACTATCAAACTTTGACATTATTTTGCGGC